AGAGAGAGAGAGAGAGAGAGAGAGAGAGAGAGAGAGAGAGAGAGAGAGAGAGAGAGTTGGCGAACTGCGGCAAAACAGTTCGAGCAGCCATAGCAGAGAGATCTCATAGTCATGAAGCTCAAATGCAAAAAACGAGTATCCTTAATATGAAAAACTGCAAAACAGAGCAAACATGTGGTCCCTCGACCGGTTTCGCCCAATCCACTTAGGCTCGTCAGGAGGGTGACTCCTTTGAGTCTTTGTGCTCGAAAAAAGGGGGACCTAAGCCTTGTCTCTCGAGCTTTATACTGCTCGTCATTGCCTCTTCCCCTCGGCCGATACCTTCATCCTATGTCGACACCCCCCGTCTTCCCTCGAGTGTATAACCTGCGGCGTTCAAGACTGCATGTGCGTGTTTCCCGACCCCAAGAACCCCCTCGTTGACCCTATCCCAAAACTTCTGAATCCGCCCCCGTTACCGTCTGGGTGCATTGCTTTTCGTTTACTGACTTACCCTATCATTTCGGACCGATCGGTCCTGGCCCGCCCGAATCCCTCGTAGGTTAGTCAGTCCTCCTCATTTAGTCTATCCGTCTGTCATAGGCACCGACTTCTATTTCCAAACCTTTCGAAGTTATCAAAATTATAAAAACTATAAGCCGATTTTCCCCTACCGGTAAACCAATATCTGCCACAATATCTCCTTCCAGTTAGTATCCTGCGGGATACCACCCGCGAGTTTCAAAACCATGATACTCGTACCTATAAATCCGAGAAAATGAAAACGAAATCAAAGTCGTACTATATAGAATAACTCCGACGAAAATGAAATCGAAAACCGAAGTGAACTACTCAAGTGAAAAACGACCGACTTTCAAGCGATCCAAAATAAGCCCCGACTTCCACAAAAAAATACCGAAACGAAACGAATCCGAAAACGAAAAATGAAACAACGAAAAAACGAAATTCCCCCCCCGAAAACCCACAATCGAGAGTCTGCCGCAGTCCCGAATAGTAACCCAAAACTTGAAACTTGAAAACCTGAATCTACGGGTCGTCATCCCGCGTTCCCGTACTGGGAGCGGCCTCCCTCTCTTTCGGCTCCGTTACCCGTCTTTTGGTCGATTTGCCCACTCCGTCTTCAGCCTGTATGCTGAGAAAGTAAAAGCAGTGAGTAACTTCCGGAGTGCTCAGTCCGGCACAGCCGTGGCCAGACAGACAACATCTGCCGTACCTACATCGACGCCCCACCTTTGTCTTAGTATGTGGTACGCAGAGAGAGAGAGAGAGAGAGAGAGAGAGAGAGAGAGAGAGAGAGAGAGAGAGAGAGAGAGAGAGAGAGAGAGAGAGGAGAGCATGTAAGTCTCCAACAACGCGGCCGACCTCATGGTACTTCTATCGATCTGATGAGCAAAATTGAATGAATCTACTGCTACTGCATGGAAATATACACTGCCACATTTTTTTTATTTTTTTTTTGAAGAACCAATTCCCCCCACCTGTAGTCCGCCATGCGCTCGTATGGCAGGGTGTGTTGCGTTCGACAGATTCACTCCACGTGGCGCACAACACGTTTGAACGTATAGGAACGCGGGCGTTCAAACGCAAACACGCGTTCAAACGGTCACATAGACGGAAATGAGGGATTGGGGAGGAGATCGGTCCGCCTGACACCCATGTCTCTCCTCACGTTTGTTTGGTTGTTTTATTTTTTTTTTTGAAAAATATGTTCCCCGTGACGTAGGCATGGCTATTGAAATGAGGGATTGGGGAGGACATTGATCCTTTCTCATCTGTCACCTTTTTTCTTTTTGCTCTTTTGCAAAAGATGTTGCGTATGAAATCTTTACGGTTATGGAGATGGGGCATTGGGGAGGAGCTATGAAACACCCGCGGACGCGTCCGCGGGGCCGAGCTCGGAGGGCGGACGTATTCACGGCCGCCTCCGCRGCCTACCGGGTCCGCGCCGCGAACCCGATTTTACCAGATTTTTCCTCAATGAAATAATAGGCCAAAAAAAAAAAAAAAAAAATGGGGTTGTAGGGAATTTTAAGCCCTACAACCCCATATTTTGTTTTTTGGAATCCAACGTTGTTTAGTTTTTTTTTTAAATCAAACATTAAATTCGATTTAAAGAAAATTAAAAAAAAAATGTAAAGAAAAGCTGTTTTTTTTTTTTGTCATTTTTTATCATCAGATACATGGTCCCTGAGTTCATCTGTATTTTTTAAAAATAAATTTCTGTTTTTTGCAGGGGTATGAGGTGTTTTAGAAAAATAAAGCTGCAAAATTTGAAAATAAATAAACAAAAAACTTGAAAAAAAAAGGTTTGATTGATTGATTGATTGATTGATTGATTTTGAGTGTGTGTGTGTCACAGTGTGTGTGTGTGTGTGTGTGTGTGTGTGTGTGTGTGTGTGTGTGTGTGTGTGAGTGTGTGTGAGTGTGTGTGCGCGCACCGGGGAAAGCTGCGCGGCGCGGGGAGGTGCGGGGAGGTGCGGGGAAAG